ATGGTCATGCTATGATCACTTCTCCTTCATTTCTCCATCCTCTCAGGACTTTGGGGGCACACACACACCACATGCACCCCACAAGCTTTTCAAGCTACTGGGGCCAGGATTTGAACTGCAGTTGATCATATAGGATCCAGCTCCCTTACCCTCTAGGCTACAGGACTGGCCCGTGCTAAGGCACTAATGACTAAAAACAGCTTACCCCCGTTACTGAGTATGTTACATAACGAGGAACTTAAGTTTTCTTTCCCCTCAAGACTTATATTTTGAAAGGATCCTGGAGTAAACAATGTTGAACTGAGTAGAGTAACCCTTTGATTTTTATGTCTAGGGTATTCTTTCAACCAGGAAAGAGATCCCTCGACATTGTCTCCAAGCCAGGTTGCATAGGAACCACTCTTTCGATCCTAAAAGCCCACAGTGTACAAGGACGGCCAAGGAATGATGAAGTCCAGCTGTGAGCTGGTCGGACACACCCATTGGGTTCTGGGCACATCTAAACCCCTTGCCTGGCAGACCCACCATGGAGCTTCACATGTTAACAAATCAGATCTGACCAAAGCTGTCAGCATGGTAGATGCTAAGCCCTCCCATGGAAAGACTGCTCTTTCCAAGCTCACAGCTTACTCTCTTCCCCCAGCTCTCTGTCAATTCTTCCTCCTGTTTGGGGGGGATAGGGTCACTGATAAATATAGTAAGAAAAATGGATTCTAGCAGCTTCAGCACAGAGAGCATCTCACCATCAGCTCTACAGGCACACTTGTGCGTGAGATCCTGAGAGAGTACATAGCCCTCACACAGCCTCTGGCCAGACAGATGAGCCCCCCAGATACCCTGTCCCTCATGTTAGGTTGCTGCCGTCTGGTCCACCCTGGCCACCTGGGTCTGGCACACGTAGGGCCGTGGACAGCTGTACACCTACCTGCCCCTTCCCCGTGGGAGAAGAAATCATCTAGGCAGCCCCTCAGTGGTCCTCTCGCACACGTGTGTGACCAGATGGATGATCTACTTATACCTTGCTGCGCCATAAGACACCTCAAAACTGAGTGGCTGAAGATTACAGTTGGCAATTCGTTTTGTTTATGAATGTGAGAAATGGGGACAGCTTGTTAGGGGCAGCTCCTATTTGTTCATAAGCTAGAATAACCCAGATGGGGCTCTGCTTCCAAGGTAACTCACATGGCTAGAAAGTTGATGTTAGCTACCGGCTGGGGACTCATTCGAGGTTGTTGATTGAAGGCATCTTTTCATAGCATGATGGAGTTAATGTTAGCCACCAGCTGGGGACTCATTCAAGGTTGTTGGTTGAAGGCATCTTCTCATAGCATGATGGAGTTGATGTTAGCCACCAACTGTGGACTCATTCAAGGTTGTTGGTTGAAGGCATCTTCTCATAGCATGATGGTTGGGTTCCAAGAGTGAATCTTCCATGATCTCAAGGCCAAGACCATAAGGCTTTTTATGACCTAACCTTGGAAGTCCAGGACACCATTTTTTGCTGCATCCTAAGTCACTAATGTCAGCCTGTGTTCAAGAGAAAGGGGATTAGATGCCACTCACAATTGTAATAGTAAGAGAGAAGCTGCAGCCATCTTTGATTTACTGCACATGGATCTGGGTGAATAGGAATATTCCAGAGTTTCAGCCTTGGAGTGTTAGGGATGGGAAGTCATTTATCCATCCATTCAACAAGCAGTCTTGAGCCACTCTTCAGGGTCGTTTGACAACGTCCTACTCTCAGAAAGTCCCCAGGCTGGTGGGAAAGCAGACAGATGGATGGGCATGTATATTTCACTCATCCATTTACTATACATTATGTGAGCATCTTTTGAGTGCTCTCCTGGCTGTGGAAGTACAGGGTGGCCATGCCAGGCAGGCCCTGTTCCCATGGTGGCTGACAGCTTATCAGAGAAGACAAACATCAACCGTGTTATTACAGAAGACTGACAAGGGCTCAGAGCAGACCTGCATGGTGCTGCAGTAAGTTCTTCCCCATGCACCATACTGCCCCTGTGCGTCTCTAGCAGGCAGGTGTGACACAGTTTTTCTGAAAAGAGAAAAAAAAGTCTTTCAACAGAAATCTGTAGTTAGAGTTCATGCAGACGTAGGGAACGGAGTAAGTGCTCTGGTAGAGGGAGCAGTCTGCATGGAGGTTCAGAGGCAAGGGAGAGAGAGAAGCCCTTGAGGGCTTCACACACTGTCAGCATGGTGTGTGCATGCATACATGTGTGCTTGTGCCTGGGTGTGTATGTGCATGTGTGAATGCATGTTGGAGTTACGTGTGTGTCTCTGTGTATATATTCATGTGGGTGCTTGTGTGTGTGCATGTGGCTGTAACACCAAGAGCTCCCCTTTTATACCTGGCCTAAGCTGGTGGGGTGTCCCTACTCTGCAACCCAGAGGTCTGGAGAACAGCACTCCCCACCCTTGCTGCCACACATCCAAGGACAGCCATGCTCTGTGCATTCTGGCCTGGATGCGGGAACATGCTGACAAGGCCTGCGATCCACAGGCAGCACTGAAAGGAGGCGGCAAGCTCCAGGCCTCGCCTCGGGCAGCTTTCCCACCCCTTCCTCTGCTGTCTGGAGCACCCTGAGCCTCCCACCTCCCTTGTGGCTGCACATGACCTGAACTCAGGGCAGCGTGACACAGGACCACAAGGGCTGGAAGGGCTACTGATTAGTTTGGTACTGCCTGCTGCACCCTAGACCAGCCCTTCCCACCTCCGGGCCTCTTAATTCTCCGCTGTGAGAAGAGCACTCCTCCCCATGTGAGGCAGATAGCCCCATCGCAAAGACGTGTGCGTGACAGCTGGGATCTCCACTCTAGTTCAGGGTCTAGTTCTCCCTGTCAGTGGTGGTAGGAGCTTCAGAGGTTAGAAAGAGTGAGCAGAGAGGGTGGAGGTGAGAAGCAAAACCAGGCCTTTCCTGGGCTAAGCCTCTCAGATAACCTGACCCAAGAGAAAGCTGCCGCGGCCCTGCGTGGCCACCTTGCCTGCCATTTGCTCCTCGGTAGCATGTCAGAGGGAACCAAGGGTGGAAATAATAATCAGCGTGGTAGTAACGGCCTTCGGACAACTCTGGTCATTCTCCTTTGGTCTTCCGGTTGCCCTGTGGGCATTTTCCTTCGGTCAAGACTTGGTTCAACTGCCTATACCAACAGCAGCAAAAGCGAACAGTGGCTTTAATAAGACAAACGTTTCCCTTTGATGTAAAAGAAGTCCTCAGGTAGGCCTGCGATCTGTGTGCAGTGGCTCCACTAGTTCTGCAAGCACCCTTGCTCCCTCCAGCTCAAGCTCGCAATTGCTGAGGCCTAGTTATCATCTTTATGTTCAGGATGGCTGCTGGAGCTCCAGCCATCACAACTGCAGACAAGGCAGGGCTTCATTATTTTTTTCCTTAATTAAAATATTTTAAAAGATTGATTTATTTAATTTTCTTTATTATTATTATTTTTTTTTTAATTTGACCAGAGAGAGAAAAAGGGAAAATGAGAAAGCAAGCCACCAGGTCCCAGACTCAAACTACAGTTGGCCACGTGGGAGTCCAGCATGTTAACCACCACACCACCTTCTGGCCCCGATTAAAACTTTTTTCCCCTTTGGAGAGAGATTTTTGCTATAGGACACATGCACTCACCAGAGAGATGGAGAGACAGAAAGTGAGAAATCACCCCCCTCCCCCCAGGGAGATGGCCACTCCACAATCTCTTCTCCTCCATTCTCTCTTGGGATTTTAGGCATGCATGTAGATGCACCCAGCATGAGTTTTAAGCTGCCGGGTCCAGGACTTGAACTGCACTTGACTACGTGGGAGTCCAGAGATGTAACCATTGTGTCATCTGTTGGTTCTGATTAAAACATTTTTATTGAGGGGGCTGAACAGTGGCGCTGTGGATAAAACATGACACTCTTTGAGGCGGATCCACATGAAAAGGTTCCAGGTTCGTGTCCAGAGACTTCCCTGAGCACGCCAGGCATGTGTGTGCACAGGATCTGGGGCTGGCCAAAGTTAGCGGTAGACTGCAGCATCAAAACCCTGCTAGGGTGCTGTTGCTCTTTCTCCCTCTCTCTTGCTTATGGAAGAAATACATACATAAAAACTTCTAGAAAGGGTTCTATTGATGTTTAATTTGCTAAAAATAAAATGCACATTTTAAGTAAAGTTTGATATGTTTTGACAGATTGAAACACCCCATAGAACCACGACCTCAGTTAAGATAAAGAAGGACAGGCCATTTCTACCTTCCTAGAAAACTTCTCTCATGGCTCTTTGCAGACAGTGCCCTCTTTGCTATCACTATGGCCTGGTTTTCCTATTCTAGAACTTGACATAAATAGCCATTAGCATATGCTCTTCTGCATTTGGATTGGCTCACTAAGCATGATGCCTTTGAGGTACAACCATGCTGTGTGTGGAATCAGCAGTGTGTTCCTCTTCATTGCTGAGTACCATTCTATTTTTTTTTCTTTTTTTTTTTTTTTGGAGAGATTTTCGCTATAGGGCGTATGCGCTCACCAGACAGAGAGAGACATAGAGACAAAAAGCAAGAAATCACCCCCCAGGGGGGATGGTCACGCCGCAATCCCTTCTCCTCCATTCTCCTCTTGGGATCTTGGGCACCCACACACACGCGCCCGGCGTGAGTTTTAAGCCACCGGGTCCGGGACATGAACCACAATCGACCACATGGGAGTCCAGTGACATAGCCATTACGCTAACTGCTGGTTCCCATGAGTGCCATTCTACAACACGGATGGACCACCTTTCTCCATTCCCTTATTTACATACATTCACTTGTTTCCTCTCCCTCCCACTTAGGAGAGTTTCCAGAAGTTCTACACAATATTTTCTCTTTGTTGTGTGTGGGTGGGTTTTTTTTTTTCTTTTTTTCAAATGTTTGTACCAGTTTTCTTTTATTTTATTTTTAGTTTGCTACAGGGTATATGTGTTCACTGGAGAGAGAGAGAGAGAGAGAGAGAGAGAGAGAGAGAGAAAATGAGAAATAACCCACTGGGAGGATGGCCATGCCTCAATCCCTTCTCCTCCATTCTCCTCTTGCTATTCCAGGCTCACACGCACCATGCCCATTGTGTTTTTCAAGCTATCAGGTCCAAGACTCAAAGGGCACAGCCGGCCATGTGGGATCTAGCTGCTTTAACCTTTGCACCGCCTGCTGGTCCATTTCCTCTTGGTTTTAATGGCCCTACACTGAGAAATGAAGCTCTTTATTCGGGTGGCAGTTGGGATTATTTCCTAGGAGGAAAGGGAGCACAGATGTTGGAGACAACTAGTCATATTATTCTGTTGACAGAGAAACTATGACCCAGAAAGGCACCAAAGTCATCCAGGTCCTTGTAACCGAGGCAGGTTGCGACTTCAGATGCAGGCGTTCAATCTGTCCCCAGCACTATTCCACATCCAGGGCCTATCACAGACATCCACAGAGTCCATGGTACTAGGAGAGAACACCAAGAAGGAATGGGACCGCATTGGGTGGGAGGGTCATGCCAATGCCATGGAGGTCCTGACCGAGCGCTCACTGGATCCCGGGCCTGGGCCAGCTTCTCTCCCCAACCAGCAGCTAATGCACACAGCCACGCAGGCAGCTGGTAGACTGACTGCCTGATGGCCCCACTTCTCAGATGAGCAAGTTGACATTTAGAGAGGTTAACTACCTTGTCTGAGGTCATGCGGTTGGCAAATAGCGTCCCCAGGTCTCCAGTTCTGCAGAAAGCAAGCTCTGACCACAGAGAGGAACACACTTCAGAATTTCTCAGCATCCCTCCTAACAGGTAGAAAGAGGCTCTGTCTTAGACTCATAAATAAACAGTCCTTTCAGAGCCCCTGCTCGTCAGCCTCAGAGGCCTGCCACAGACCCCTACTCTCCTAATTCACTCAGGGTTTTCCCTCATAATTCTCCTTTCCTCCATTTCATGCCTATAACGTATTAACATAAACAACGGTGCTGACAGCAGCTCAGCCCTCACTGGCTCATGCTGGAATCTGACTGATGATTTTCATCAGGGAAAAAAGACTAAACAGGTTAAGATGATTAAATTTTCTTAAACCTACAGCTAAGCCTAATCAAAGCCATTTGTGCAGAGGTGTGTGTGTGTGTGTGTGTTTTCCTTTGCTGGAAAGTTGATTGGCAGTTTCAAACGGATGAGTGTGACTTCTGGGAGAACAGAGCTAAAATAAAGCGTTCTGTAACTTCCAGACATTCGCCTGGGCCATTTCCACGTCCCCGTCTGGGCCACGACTATCATCTTCCCTGAGAAACAGCTGATGATGGAAAGGGAGTTCAGAGCGGCTACATTTCATCCTCTCTCTGATCCCCCACCCCACTCGGCCCCCAGTTCAGTTCGTTTATAGTTTGAGCTCTCCATGCTGAGCGAATTCGGAAGTGCCACAGTTCCTTAATGTCCAGGAGTTTAGGAGATCAGGGGCCTCTCATGCAACATGACCCTATGATCTTGGCAAACCACTTGCCCTCCCTGTGCCTCAGCTTCTCCATCTGCAAAATGGAGCAGCCGACTCTGAAGGTCTCCTGTTTATCACACCAAACCGGTGGAGCCCGAGTGCAGAAAATGGGGACTGACTAGAACCAGCCCCACCAACGTGAGGTTCTCCCCCACACAGTGCTCACAGGAGGTCTGGCCGGGTGTTACATCAGCCGCCTGGGGGCTGGAGGGCTGAGTGTGATAAGGGGGCACCCAGGACGCAGCTGCACTCTTCCTTATCTGGCATCTTCAAAAATCCTCTTAAATCTGCCTTCCCTCCACCAAGTTCCAGTGGCCCCCATAGCCAGGAGTCATACCCCACTGTAAAGATAGCCAAAGGACATCGCGTCCCTTTTACAACTCCAGTCTCACTTCTGATTCAATATTCTTTTCCTTTACCCAACACTCACCCGTGACACCTCCCTTGGTAGCCTGAAGGAGGTAGGAGGTAAGGTCTCTTCCACTCTTCTCTCCCCGGTTTCAAGGCATTCCATAGCTCAGAGATGGGGCGGACCAGAGAAGGGAGAAGCAAAGTCCTGTTTGCAGTTCTCTCGGGGCACGCCAGCTACTGCCATCTGTAATATCAGATATCTAGATGCCGACAACCCCACCGACCCACTGGGCTCTGATAGGAACCCGTTCATTGCATGGTGCAGTTCCCTGGTTGACCTCTCGTAACCCCCTTCTTAAACATGCCCTAAAGAGCTCTCCTTTCAGCCTTCTACCACTCGGTTCCCCCTCCCCAGGATGCAGGTCCTAGCAGGACAGCCTAAGCCCCAGTACCTCCACAGTGTCTTCATGACCACAGGGAACTCTCAGGCGAAGTCACTCTGTCACCACTGCCCTTCATTCTGCGAGATAGCCCATGGGTTGCTAAAGCTCACCAAGTTTCTTGCTGGAGCTGGTCCAGTCTTCCCTTCCGACAGCCCTTTCTCAATATCTATGAGTGCTTCTGATGTCAGATTAACCAGTCTGCAGGGGCACTCCCTCTCTTCCTCCAGGGGGTAAAGGAGATGGGAGGACAAAAAAGACTCTTGAATTCCTTTCAAATCTCTCTTGTCTTTCATGTAGGCTGGAGATGAGTGATGGAGTGGGTCGTCACCAGATCACTTCTACCTTTTAGTAATCTTCAGCGTGGCTGCATCTTACTTTACAATGTCTTTTCAGCTTTGAGACTTCAACCAGTCTTCTGAAGCTTTGCAACTGTGCTATATGTCTTTAGTGATTTTCCTAGTAATTCCTCCTAAGCGGGGGCGGGGGTGGGGGTGGGGGGAGAATCCCACAAACTAAAGCAAGCAGAAGGGAAATAAAGACTAGAATAAAAATAAATGAAATAGAGAAAAGAAAAAAACAATAGATAAAATCAACCAAACCAAAAGTCATTCTTTGAAAAGATCAATGAAATTGACAAATCTGTAGCTAATCTGGCAAAGGAAAAAAATAAAAAAAAAAGACTCAAGCAATTAAAATCTAAAACCAAAAAAAGGGGACATCACTATGAACCTTATAGAAACAAAAAGAATTATAAGGGAAAACTGCAGTCCGTCCTTATCTGCAGTTTCCCTTTCTACGGTTTCAGTAACCCATGGAATAGTACAATATGATATTTTAAGAGAGAAAAAGAGATCCCATTCAACATCGCTATTATTACAGTATACTTTTACAATTGTTCCATTTTACTATTATTAATCTCTTACTATCCCTAATTTATAAATTAAACTTAATCATAGGTATATATGTGTAGAAAAAATAGCATATGTAGAGTTCAGTATTATTCACTTTCAGGCATCTGGGAGGAACCTTAGAACATATCTCCCTCAGGTAAGAGAGAACCCCTGTACTACAAACAACCATATGTTGACAAATTAGATAACTTAGCTGAAATAGACACATTCCTAGAAAAACACAAGCGATCAAAACTTACTCCAGAAAAAAAAAAATGGGAAATTTGAATAGAACAAATTCCCTCAAAGAAACGCTCAGGTCCAGATGGCCTCAGTGGTGAATTCTACCAAACACTTACATAATAATTAATACCAATACTTCACAAACTCTTTGAAAAGTAGAATGGAGGTAGATTGCCAACTCATTCTGTGAGGCCAGAATTATCCTGATACCAAAACCAGACAAAGACATTACAAGAAAAGAAAACTATAGATCAATATCTCTTATGGCTATAAATGCAAAAATCCTTAACAAAATACTAGCAAACGAAATCCAGCAACATATAGAGAGGATTATAAACCATGATCAAGTGGGATTTACCCCAGGAATACAAGATTGGTTTAACATCTGAAAACCAATTAATGTAATACACCATATTAATGGAATAAAGGAGAAAAACACATGATCACCTCAACAGACACAGAAAAAGCATTTGGCAAGGTCCAAAAGTGAGAAAAGAAAAGGTGCTCCAAGCAGGAGAAATGCCTATGCAAACACACAAGGGGAAAAAGTTTTATTTAAGAGACGTACAGGGAGTAAAATGACACACTCAGAAGGGATATGGGGTCAACCTATAGAAAGCTTTGAATATCAGTTTAAGGGGCCATAAGGAAGGGGCCAGCAGATGGTGTAGCAGTTATATCACTGGACTCCTATATGGCCAACTACAATTCAAGTCCTGGACTCGGTGGCTTGAAAAATCACACTAGGTGTGTGTGCTTATGTTCCCGAGAGGGGAATGGAAAACGGATTGAGGTGGACCATCCTCCCGGGGAGTGATTTCTCACTTTCCCTCGCACTCTCTCTCTCTCTCTGACCAGTGCGCACACCCTAAGGCAAAAACCTCGAAAAGAAAAGAAAAGAAAAGAAAAGAAAAGAAAAGAAAAGAAAAGAAAGAAAAAAGGAAGAAAAAAGGAAGAAAAGAAGGAAGAAAAAGTGATAGAAAGAAGAAAGAGAGAAATAATGAGACCCAGTTCGAAGTGGATGAATATAGAGAACTTAATGCTAAGCAAAGTGAGTCAGACTTTGAAAGGCATACACTGTATATCCCCACTCAATATGTTATGAATGTCTGCACTCTGTAGCAGAAATTAAAAGATCTGAAGATGCGATAGTAGAAAGGGTAAGTGTAGATATCAGAGACTGGTAATAGGGGATAGGAAGGTGAGTGGGAGGGGCAAAGGGAAGAAACATTAACAGACAAAAGAATGTAAAGTTCTCTGTTTAATATATATAAATATGAACAACAGAAGAAGCAACAATAAAAACAAAAATATATACCTACAAAAATATATAGATGTATTAGTTTTAGGGCTTAAGCATGAGCCATGAGTTTTGAGCAGAGCTTTCACATGGTCAAAGTGGCATGTCAGGAAGTTAATCTGGATCAAATTATCTAGTGATCAGCTTATATATATTAATGTAATTCCAAGATACAAAATAAAAATCACCAAAATTTTCTGGACAATAAATGGCAATCTAATTTACTCCTAGGGTGGATCCAGGTTTTACAGCTGGAAGTATATAAGCAAGAGAAACTAAATTTAGAAATTGAAATTCAGTACAACCGTGAATATTTAGGGGGCAGACAGTGGTACAGTGGTAAACTATGATGCTGTATAAGGCTGATCTACAATACTAGGGAAAGTTCTAAGTTCACACCCAGAGACTTCCCTAAATGTGCCAAGTACACATATGCCTGTGATCTGAGACCAATGGAGGCTGGGGGTGAATCACAGCAACTAGATCCACTTGGGGGTGGTGTCTCTCTGTCTCTTTCTCTGTCTCATTCATGGGAAAATAAATAAATACACTTTTAAAAAATAGTGAATATTCACTAGACTAAAATACAGTGTATTCATGCTGGGAAAATTCATTTTGCAAGCTATGATGATATACAGTGATTAAATGTATAAAAAATTAAACTGTTCATGTTCAGCTTATGATGGTCAGCTTTGATTGATGATGCAAGACCCCACTGGTTGCCTCTTAACGACTACGTAAGTTTTGCTTTGTAACTAAGAAGAATAGCATCTGTGTAGTTTGCAAAACTGAAATGTTAACTATAGGGAATAAGACCATTTTCATGACACCAATATATTGAGTTTATTAAAGAAAATCTATGATACTTTTCTGGGAAAAATAATAGTGAATATTGCTTTAGATGTGAAAAGAAACCACAATATGGCCACAGCTACTCCAAATCATGCAATATGGGGTGAAATGAGATGGTAGGGATGTCAGAGTGAAAAGAGGCAGGAATCTTAACCAACCATAATTTTTTTTTTTTTTTTTTTTTTAGAGATTTTCGCTATAGGGCGTGTGCACTCACCAGACAGACAGAGAGAGACATAGAGACAGAAAGCAAGA